ACTCAGGACATTGCATCTGCCAGGCTGGCACTTATGCCACTGAGCTATCTCCCCAGGAATTTTTATAATTTTTGTCTTTTTGAGATAGGGTCTCCCTGTGCAGCTCAGTCTGGCCTTGAGCTCACTTTGTAGCCCAGGCTGGTCTCGAACTTGAAACAATTCTCCTGCCTCAGTCTCCCGAGATCTGGGTCTACAGGTGTGCACTACCATGCCCAGCTATGTCCTGTAACTTTATTCGCATTTGGTTCTGGAGGGGAGTTTTTGCGCTGGGAATCGAACTCAGGACCTGGAGCTCACCAGGCAGGCCCTGTGCTGGCTGAGCTATATCCCCAGCTTTGTTTTATTGAGACAGGGTTGCCAACGTGGTTGACGCTGGCCTTAAACTCACTGTGTAGGCCAGGTTGACCTCGCCCCCCGCCCCCCAGCCTCCTGAGTGCCCGGGTGACAGGCTTGCCCGCACCACCACCCTGGCTGGCTGCTGAGATTCTTTCCAAGCCTCCACTGCTGGGATGCTGAGCGTGTGCGGACACACGGAAAGCAACCATTGAGGTCCCTCATCGCGAAGTCATCAGAGGGCTGTCACGAGGTTGCCATCGGGTGTCATGTCAGCGAGGTGTCCCTGGCCCTGCGGCCCAAAGAAGGCGGGCTCGGTTCTGCACTTCCCGGGCCGCCCGCTGTGGGGCGGACGCCGGCGGGAAGGAGTCCGGCGGGCTGAGGCTGCCTTCGCGAGCTGCCCTCCCTCCCGTTCCTGTTCCCACTGTGAACTCCTCAGCCACCCTGGGGGGATTCCTCACACTTCCCGGGCGAGGCGCGAGCTCGGAGGGGTCTCGCCTAGCTAGGGTCAGGGTCCTCGGTGCGGCGCCACATCTGAGGGTCCGGGCGCTGGGCGCCAGCCGGCAGCTTCGCAGGAGCGCGCAGCCCCGGAGCCCCGCCAAGGCCCGCGGAGAATGCAGGTCAGCAGGAGGAGGGCGGCCGCCCGGCCCTGCCCAGACTGGCCCAGCCGGCCCCGCGCTGCCCGCTGTCCGGGGGCGGCGACGGGGACGAGGAGGGGACTCGCTGGGCTCCCGGGCTCTCAAGCCCCGAGAAACAGGAAAACGAAAGCCGTGCCCGGGTCACCAAGGGGCGGCCGCGTCCTCCCTGGCTGCAGCCGCCTGCCAGACTCGGCCAGAGAAACTGCGTTAGGGAGAGCGAGGGCGAGACAGGACCCCCAGCAACTTGGATTTTAAAAAATGCAGGAAGGGAAGGTGAAAGGATACTTCATCGGGGCCCAAACCAGACCCGTCCACCTTCTTAGCTTGGGGACTCCTTCCAGAGGCTTTTCAGTCGCTCGCCATGAATCAGGCCCAAAGGCGAGCGTGCTTGTCACCCAGCGGCCCGCGAAACGCGCAGACGAGAGCCCGCGTCACCGGGGCAGCGCAGGGGGTCTGAGCGGCGCACTTGCGCAACCCTGGCGGGGCTTCAGCTGCCGCGCGGCCGCGGCCTCTCCCTCACACTTCCCAGCTGGGCAGGAGCCCATCAGATAGCTGGCTGCCTTTCATCGCCTTGTCCCTGATAGGGATCATCCCGCGTGAAGAAATCACTGTCAGTCGCCCCCGCGTCACTCACAGCCAGAGGGAGTGGCTGACTGGCCTGTCCCCGTGCGCCGGTGACTGCTGCTGCCAAGGGAGGAAACTGTGATGCCGGGAAGCTGAGAAAGAGAAAGAACTGGAAATCTCTCATCCCTCTAGGTGATGACCAGGGAGGGACCCCTTCCTGTCCCTCAGGCAGGGTCAGGCCCAATTGATGGCGCTAGGCTACCCAGAGGCGGCAGGATCAAAGCCAGTGTCCCCACCTTTCCCCTGCAGCCCTGCCATCTGATCCTCGCTTCGGGGGACAGAGTACAAAACGAAAAAAAACAGAAAACAAATGAGGCCACGGATGTTGTCGATGACTTTATTGTTGCATAAAAAACACAAGCTGTTTCTTCCTCCTCCTCCCCTCAAAGTGGGTTCACAGCAAAGAACAAAAATCCTACATTTTCCTCTAGGGGGGCTGCCTACAAGGGCAAGCAGCCAAGAAACCTAGATCTATAAAAAGGGAGCAGAAGAAAACCTATCCAAAGCCCCCACCTGCAAACCTTAGGGCACAAGGCCTAGGAGGAGGAACATCATGCCCCCACCGCCGACACCCCTGGGAGTTCCCCTTAGGATGGTCACTGGTGGTGGCACAGGAGGGGGCGGCTAGTTTCGATGGGTGGAGGAGAAAGGCAGCCCACACCCACGGTGCCCTCCTTTCTCTCTCCCGCTGGCTGGGCAGCCTGCATGCACGGTACGCGACCGTACACTCTCCCCTCCTGTCCTCTGCCGGGAAGGGGACCTCAGGCTGGAAAAGGAGTGAGCACACCAAAAGCTTCTTACACTACCCTAGGCCCTAGTCCCACAGGGAACGCCACCCTGTCCCCAGGAGGAGGAGCCTTCTGTACAGAAACACATCTTCCACCCCACTCCAGCCTCTGCTTCCCTCTGAGCTCCCAGTTCTTGCACTGGGCTCTAGGACCCTCAAACTGTGGACAGGGTGGACAAGATGGGGTCTCAGGTGACCCCAGGCTCAGTAGAGAAACACACACGCATACACACACACACAAACACACACACACACACACACAGTCTCTCATGCCCTAATATTAAATAAAATACCCTTTGTTTATAACTTAAAAATCAATACACAGCTAATCCCTGCAGAGGGCTCTGGGTGGAGAGGGGACCAAGAGGACTGGAAGGTCACAGGGCTAAGAGGCCTGGGAATGTCCCCAGATCCAGGGTCCTCTGGCCTGCCTGACCCTCCCTGGCTCCTCTTCTTTCCCCTCTGCATGGCTCAGCCTCCTCCTGGCTTCTCCCCTCCCATCCCGTCCCCCGAGATCAGAATCTATGTATATTTCTAGAGTCTAAAGGGCCAGGTAGGGATAGGGACAGCTTCCTGAAACCTTGGGGTGGGGGGAAGCACAAGTACTTCATACAGAAGCCGTGGGTGGATCTTCTACAGCGGGGGCCAGGGACCAGTAAGTGTTGGGCAGGAGATCCGGGTTTAGCTACGGGGGAGAAGGAGAGGCCTGGCAGGGGTGGGGTCCTCACTAGGGAGTGGGAACAGCTAGGAAACCCCTGCTGAGACCCAGCTCTGGCCCCTTGCAGCCCCACAGACACCTCTCCCCCAAAGGGAGGGTACAGTGGAAGGAAGGATGCCAACTCTAGAGCCTTAAATAACGACCTACAGGCATGGATGGGGAATGTAAATTTGATTTTTTTTAAAGACCAAGAGTTAAGGACTGAATCAGAGTGCATGGAGGAAAGGGTTAGTTTCTTCCACTTCCCTGCCAAATCCCTTTCTCTGGTTCTTTTTTTCCTTCCACCCAACCGGTGCTGCCATCTCTAACGCTGTCCTGCACCCACCGTTCTGGCTAGAGAACTGTCCCCTCTTCCTACGGAGCTACAATATAATGATCCGGAAGGATCAACGGGGAGGGGACGACATCAAAGACCTACTTCTACATCGACAACCTTCCAAGCTGGTGAGCCATGCTTGCTAAGGAGACCCGGGCACGGGGACCCCGGCCGCCCAGGTGTCCCTCCGGAAACCCTAGGGCGGGAGCGCGGCGAGGGGGATGAAAGGGGCCAGGCTGCAGGGCGGCTCTGCCGGCGCTTTTAAGTCGGGGTTCCCAAGCGCCAAGGACGTGTCCAGACAGCTGCCCCAGCGCCCCGGCCGGCCGCACTCAGCTCGGGGACGCGCCATCCTCTCTCCCGCCCGCCCTAGGCGCGGGCGGGGTGCCCCATCCCAACTCCCAGCCCTAGGAAGGTTGGAGGGGCTCGTCCTCAGTGTCCCAAACGCTAACCTGGCGCCCACCCCCCGCCCCTACTCAATAAATAACCACCTCCCCCTTACTCAAGCCGCCTCCCAGATGCCGCTCAGGGGCCCTCTCCGGACGCCCCCACGGAGCCCGCGAGGAGGCAACCCCGGGAGGAGCTCAGTTGGAGGGCGCCGCGCTGCCCTCAGCCTCCCGCTTGCCTTTTCCCCCGGGCGGCTCCACCGCGCCTCCGGCCTTAGCCTCGCCGGGGCCCGCTGTGGCTGCCTCCTCCTTGGCGCCCTCGTGGGTCTTCATGTGCTTGGCCAGGTGGTCGCTGCGCATGAAGACGCGGCTGCACACGGCGCAGGGGAACTTCTTGGTGCCCGTGTGCGTCTGCAGGTGGCGCTGCAGCTCGTCGGAGCGTGTGAAGCGCTTGCCGCAGAAGAGCCAGTTGCACACGAAGGGACGGTCGCCACTGTGCCAGCGCAGGTGCGCCTTCAGGTGCGATGTCTTGGCGTAGGCTTTCCCGCAGCCAGGTATATGGCAGTTGTGCAAATGCTTCTTCTTGCTCCCATCGGGCCCGCACGGGGACCCCAGCCTCTCGGCCTCCATGCAGTTGGGGCAGCGACAGACGGTCTGGCCCGAGCTGCGGGGCACCGATCTCCGGGAGCCTTTGGGCCGGGCCGCCGCGTCCAGACCGGAATCCAACCCTTGGGCCTCGGGCGCCGCAGCTTCCAAGACCTTGGCTCCGTCGGGCGGCCCGAGGAGGTGCTGCCCCCCGGCGGCCGGGAGGAGGTGGTGCGGGTGCGGATGCGGGTGCGGCGGCGGGGCACAAAGTTGGTGGTCGCCGACATAGCCCCCCAATCCCGCCTGGAGCGCTCCGGGATGACCCGGGGAGGCGAGAGCGCCCTGAGTGTGCGGGAGGTCCATCCAGCTGGTGCCCGGATGAAGGTCCCACCACGAGCCGTCCTCCGTGCCCGGGTGGGTCGGCCGGAACCATGATTCGTAATGGTGCGACATGTCCGGCTGCAGGAGCTTGGAAAAGGGTCCCGGGGTTAAGGGACTGTCGCTTTCCAGATCCTCGCAGGTCACCCGCGAGGAGGACCCTGGCAGCTCATAGCCCTGGGAGAAGTCCACCTCCGGGCCCAGCGGGAGGCTCTGCAGCTCGGCCGGCTGCAGCGGGGAGGGATAGTCCCCAGCCTCCGGGCTCGTGTGGCCTTGGTACGTCTGGAGTGGCTGCAGGTCGAGGCGCGGCGGGGAGGCGTGAGGCGCGTCCGGGTGCTGGCTGCCCAGAGAGCCGCAGACAGCGGTTAGCATTGCCGGGATCCGGGGTGGGGTGGGGCCAGGACGGTCAGGGGCACCTCAGGAGGTACCTGCAGGAGGTAAGGAGGAGGCGAAGTGAGGAGAAAGTGAAGCACTCGGGTGCTAACTCGGGTCCTCCCTCTGGCGAAGGGCTGCTCTTTGGCCCCCCAGGTGCTCAAAGAGGGTTGGGCTCTGGGCGGGGCCTAAAGTTGAGGAGCGCCAGGAAGGGATGCAAATCTGAGTTTCCACGGGGCAGAGAATGGCCCTTGTTCCTGGCGATCTGCCCATCGGACCGAGCTACTCCCAGATTCGTGGGTCACAGTGCTAGAAACACCCCACCCCAGCTGCCAGGCTAACGCCAGGCCCAGGGCCATTTCTCCCCCGCAGACCCACTTCCCACTCCAGGGACGGTTCCAGACCCCTCAGCATGCCCAACTTAACTCGGGGCACAGTTGGGAAGAAGGCACCAGCCAAAATAAGCCAATAATTTCAAACGATACAAAAGGGGCGGCGAGCTTCTCGAACCCACAAAGCAGAAGACGACTTGCCCCTGAGAAAGCCCAGAGCAGGGCCGGCCTGCGGGGAGAAAGCCCTCGGTGCCAAAGCGGGCGGGGGGGGGTGGAGGGCACTTCACCACTCACAGGGCTCCCATGCCCGGCCCGCGCGCTCCTTTCCCTGAGCAGGGACTTCACTCCCCTGGGGTGCAGCAGCAGGGGGGGTTTCTGGGGCAGTCGTCTCCAACCTCAGGCTGGAGAAACCGAAATTCTCCTTCCCTCTCCAGAGCCACACCATGGCTGCCACCCGCGTGCTTCTCCTAGCACAGGGAGACTCGGACAGGACGGGGAGGGGGGTCGGGCTCCCCTGTGAAAGTTTGCGCTGGCGGCCGAGCTCCGGATGGAACAACTGCCACCCCTCGAGGGATACGGGGTCGCAGCTGAGGAAGAGGAAAACAGCGAGCGAAGCCGTCATTCAGCTTCACCAAAGGAATTGCCCAGAGATGCTCTGAGGGGGTGCATCGCGTCCCAGAGACCTCTCGGACGCCCCCCTGCTGATTCTAATACTCAGTCAAGCTAGGGGCCCCACTGCCCCGGGCCAGCCCTCTTACTGTATTATTTACTCCAACCCTCTTTTTTCATTGTATTTTTCGGCCAGCCCTCTTTATTTTAAAGAAAACGAAAAAGAGATGGAATTTGAGCCGTGACTGGAACAGCTATGTCCTTTTACTGTTTGGTGGGCAGCCAGGCCTTGTGACCCGGGCTCTTTTAATCGCCCTAAACCATCAGGATCCCAAAGACCCCGCCCTTTTCTCAACAGATCTGCGACTTGGAGACCTGGAGACCTTTTCGCCGCTCCGTGGGTTTTCTCCGAGCTGGGAGGCGAGGAGGCCAGCGATTTGGGGCACCGTCTTCCCCTCCCCACTGCAGGGCTCTGCTAATCCAACCACCTTCTGCCCCTGGGACCGGGAGGTGGCGGATTGTCTGGGAGAGGCCGGGAGAGCAGGGCTGGGGCGCCTACTCAGGCTCCGCCAGCCTCACCACAAGAAAGGAACAGGGTGAAGCAGCGGGAGCGGAGCCGTAGGCCGGGGCGGGGCGGCCCAGAAGGGGCTGGGCGGGCGCGGAGAGGCCTGGGACCCTAATAGCTTTTGGCGCCTGGGAACTGCCCCAGGGGCTGGGGGATGGTAGGTTGGGCCGGCCGAGGCTCCGGGGGGCCTCTTGCGCCTGAGAGGCCGGCAGCCCAGGTCAGGGGGGCGAAGCCTGCGGCCAGATTTCAGGTCGGGAGAGAGAAGGGCGCACCCCCATACCCCGCACCCCAGGAAGGCTGCAGAGACGCCCGTAACGCTTGACGGCTGCCGCCTCCGTCCCCGCCGCGCAGGCGGCCGGGCGGGACCTCCCTGTCCCCGGTTCCCGAACTTCCAATTCTCGGGGCGTCCCAGTCGCTCCAGTTTCCCCAGTTTGTCTCTTCGATGGCTCCAGTCTCTCCCGTCCGCCCGGTTTTCCCGGGTTCGGGCTCTGTTTCCCACCCCCCACCCCAGGTCTTTGGGGCCACCCCACCCCCACGCTCGCGGGCGTGCGGCGTGCTCCCCGCGCCACCCCGCCCGGCTCCTACCTGGGCTGCGCTCGGGCTCGGCGGGCGCGCGCTACAGACCCGCGTTCATCCGCCCGGCGCGCCGCACGGCGCT